CAAAAGCTTATGATTGAATGATCCAAGACCAACTACAATTGTGAAGAATGCAGTGGGCCGATGACTTCTTTACATTGTATGGTCATATTCTTCTATTGGATCTCTAGTCTAGTTTCAATAAAAGGATGGGCTATTAAGTCAAAAGAGTTTTCTCGATTTAGAAATGTAGAGATCTACTGAGAGAGGGCTGAAATTAAAATTTTGAAACTCTATAATCAGCCTTTTGGGTTGGTCTCTAACATCCGAAACTAATCCCAAAACCAATTGGCATAAGGGCAACCACACTTGAAAGTTATATTTTTTTTGTTTGGTTTCAAAAGTCATTCTAAAATCAAAGATGGGATAACCTCTACAATTATTGGGATGAAGTATCGGCTAAACAGAAGCAAATGGATTTGGCAGATTCGTAACCTCGAATTTGGACATGAACCTAAGCTCTGTAGCATAGAAATTAGATCTATCTGAGAAAGCGATAGAACGGCACAATTCAAGGAGAGCAATTGATTCTTTCTTGCTTTATGTGAATTAGTGGTGAGAATTTAAAGTAAACTGTGGGAATATTTTTAAGTAAATTGTATCAAAAGTATGAGACCAGCTTAGTTTTTGACCTTGATATTCTAATTCATTTTGTAAATGAGTTTCACACAATCAGCATGCGTATAAACTAGGGGTGTACAAAGGAAATCGACAAACCGCACCAACTCGATAATTCGAGTCAAACCGGGAAAAAAAACCCGATTACGATTTGGTTTGATTTGGTTTGGTGTTAGAAAAAAAAACTCGACCATAATTGATTTGGTTTGGTTTTAAGTTTTAACTAAAGAAAGTCAAACCGAAACCAAACCAACCCGACATTACATATATAGAAATTTTAGATATATTTAATATATAAATATACTTATTGTGATGTAATTTATAAATATTTTTTAAATTTTTTCATAATTTTATCTTTTAAGGTATTATTTCAAGGTTGGACTTGAAATTTTGAATGTCTCAATAAGTTTTATGGGCATTAATATTAGTAACTTAAATAATGCTAATAAAAGCCCAAACCAAAATTAAAATCAATACTAATGCTAACAAAAGACATCCAATTCAAAATACGAACGTCAATGTATTGAATATCTATTTTTTGTTTTGCAATAATTTAGATAAAAATGCATAACCTATTTTTACATTTTCTTTAGCGTTTAGTCATGTAACTAATACTCCCTTATTAGTCTACTTATTTTAGCATGACTTAGTACTTTTAGATTATGTTTATTTTTATTATGGCTTTTTAATTAGCAATATTTATATTACATATTTTTATTGTCTTTATTATTGAATATTTTAGGATAATGCCATGACACATCTCATATTTTGTATTATTTTCGTGGAAAACACTTTATATAGTTGTATCTTACTAGGATTAAAGAAATATTTTGAGCACAAGTTATATGTTTTGTTCTACAAAGGTTTTACCGGAAAAAAATCCGTAAAACCCCGAATAACCTGAAAACCCGAGAAAAACCGAGATTGAAAAACCCGAGTATTATTGGTTTGGTTTGGTCTTTAGATTTAATAACCCGACACAATTAGTTTGGTTTGGTAATTACAAAATCCGAACCAACCCGACCTACGTAAACCCCTAGCATAAACTATCAGTCCAATTTTGAGGAGAGGATAATGCACTGGTGGAAAAATAGGCATAACACATGGACTAACGATATGGTGACAGGTGGCATTGGCATCGGGTTAATAAAGAAAAATGATGAGGCACGGTTAAAATACGCACGGGATTCACAGAAGAAGGTACTGTGTCTGACAACTGGGAAAAAAGAAATAGGCACGAGATGCATGAAGGCCATAAAAGAGGAAGATTCATGAATAGTTACGAATATGAAAAGAGAATCAGTATTATCTTTGATTATGCGCGATCACCTATTATTACTATAACCATTACGAGTAATTTCAGTAACGGGCAATTAATGTAGTTAATGTTAGTAACGGGTAGGAATTAAGTGAGGGGGAACCATTATATCTTTGTATCCTAATATAAGGGTCCTTACCTTATTTTGTACGATGATGGTAGGCTAGAAACCCATATTTTAGTCGTAGTTTGCACTCTAATTACTGCATTTCACGTGTGTTTAAGCTTAAATGATAGTGAATTATACTTATTACGTATTTTATGCCTTGCAGGAAACGATTCCGAGCTATTAAGGTAATTTGAAGCTAAATCGAACAAGTTGGAGCTTTGAAGTCTGAGTAGAAGCCCAAGCAATTAAACCGGGATCACGTTCGGCGGTCGAGGACCAAGTCCCGATGTCAAAAAATGAACAAACGAATTTACTCTTAGGAAAAGGCACAGTGCAAAAGTTGGTCTAACAGGATTTTGCCAAGCTCTATGGATTTCCCCACAAGCGCGCTGCATGGGTCGGCGGGGGGCGCGACGCGGCAGTACAAAAATGTCAGAGTGATTTCCTATTTCGGCTAGGAAAGGGTAGTTTCGTCCGAGATTATTTTGAGACGACATAAATACACCAAAAACACGATTTTGAAGGCATTTTGACCTAGGAAAGAAAGGAGAACCAACCAAGGAAAGAAGACTCAAGAATTCATCAAGATTTCAACCTGCAATCGGTGCAATGCGAGAGTTTGTATCGAATCATTAGAATTGATGTTTTCTTTGTTCTTAAACTTATTTGAGATATCTTACTCCATTGCTATGGGGTAATTTCTATTAGGGTGTTGAAAGATATGGCGTTTCAATAACTTGATTAGGGATTCGATTCTTGATAATTATTAGAATTAATTGATGGAGCTTCAATCTGTATTGTAGAGTTAATTAGTATTTTGCTTAATCGAAAGAGGAGTTTGATATTGAATTTCTTCACATCTTATGCTCTAGTTTAAATTCGTGATTCAAATAGGTAATTGAAAGAGCCTCTTGAATTGTTAATCGAACTAAAAAATAGGAAATATTCGTGAGAAGTTACCCTTTAGATCATAAACATCATTTTATTATTGCAATTATTTAGCGTGCTTAAATTGGATTAATTACCGAAATTAACGTTAAATCGAAAGAGGAATATTAACTTCAAGTGTAATCTGATTGTCGGTTGAATTCGTGAGAATCAACCGTATTATAGAGTGAATTAACTCAAGACTGGATCCCGAATCAGTTATTTTGCACCTGTCTAGTCAATTACCCTTATTTCCCCCATTGATATTTCTTCGTGTTCATCTGTTGTCTTTTGTGATCAATTGATATTTGCTTAAATTTTAGTAGTTAATCGTAGTAATAGTCATGAAATTAAGTGTTAATTTTCTGGATAGTAATCAATTGGAGATTATTCAAACACTGTTTAAATCCAATACTTGTGGAGACGAAAATTAATCTATACTATCTTTTGCTAGAGAGCATTAATTTTATGTTTTGTTTTGCGCTCGTCAAATTTTGGCACTGTTGCCAGGGATTGGCAATCAATAGTGTTTAAAATATTTTTCAGTTCTAATTCAGGAACAACTTTTACTTTAGTGTATTCACGTTTTCTCACTTGTGTGCAGGATACATGTTTGATTTCTCTTGTGTATGACTCGATCCTCTTCAAAGGAAGTGATACCCTACGAACTAGAGTTGGAGAAACACCTGCGACATCTAAGAAAAGAAAGAGAATTAATAGAAAATTTCTTGGGTCAAACTTCGACTCAAGATACCATGGCAAACGAAGAGAATGACAGAGTAGACTTAGCTGCAAGAGAGGCAGCACAATAAGAAGCTGTACGGAGAATTGCTGATGAGACAGTCGAACATAATGGAGGTCGAAGAGTCAATCTAAACTAACCCTTGGTTGAAGACCAGTTCGAGAACGCAGCACCCAAGCTTGGAAGATCATTGGGTGATTATGCTAGGCTAGTCTACAATCAAGGAATGCCAAGTGTCAGACCTTCGCCCATAGTTGCAAACAACTTCGAATTGAAGCAAGGCTCGCTTCAAACTATCCAAAACACCTGCATTTTTAGAGGGAAGGTGAACGAAGATCCTAATACTCACCTGATGGACTTTGAAGAAATCATGAACACCTTCTAGTATAATGGAGTATCAAAAGATGCAGTTTATATAAGGACATTCCCCTTTAGATTGAAAGATGATGCGAAGCACTGGCTTCGTAGCTTAACCACAGGTTCGATCAGGACACGGGAAGATATGACCACAAAGTTTCTTGACAAGTATTTCTCAGCTGCAAAAACAAGGAAGTTCAGAAGGGAAATCCACAATTTCTGCCAGAAGGAGACAGAAACGGTCTACGAAGCTTGGGAAAGATTCAAGGAGATAGTCAGAAAGTGTCAGCCCAATGGAATTGATTTGTAGATGCAACTCCAGGATTTTTGGGATGGACTGACACCTTCCTCGCGACGAACTCTGAATAATGCATGTGGAGGTCCACTAATGAAGAAAACTTCGGAGGAGGTTGTCTTAATCCTTGATGAATTATCTGAGGATGCTAATCAGTGGCCGGCTGAGAGTAATGACAGAAGAAAATCAGTTGAGGTTTGCCAGGTCTAACACATCCATGCAAGCCCAGCTAGACACCATGGCCAAGGAGATAAGAAAGCTGACATAGGCCAAGGTACAGAGTGAGCCGCAAGCAGAATGTGACTTTTGTGGCATGAGACACCCTACACATGAGTGTCAAGCATCATCTGAGGAAGTCAATGTTATGGGAAACTTTAATAAAAGAAACTACCAAGGCGGGAACAACTATAATGCTATGGGTCAAAGACATCCAGGTTTTTAGTGGAGTTCACCTAGTTGGAGTATGAACTTATGGCAGTAAAATAATCCTAGACCCTAGGGTCAAGGACCACCAGGTTTTCAGAACCAGCAGAGGCAGCAATAGGAGCTACAACAGCCAAATCAGTCTAGTATGTAAGATCTCATGAAGGCATTCATCAACAAAACAGATGAAAAATTCGAGGCTCAGGGAAACACTATCTAGAATTTAGAAAGACAAATGGGACAAATTGCAAATTTGTTATCTGAGAGGGCTCCTAGGACTCTTCCCTCTGACACTGAAAAGAACCCAAAGGAAACAATCAAAGTTGTATCTCTGAGAAGTGGCAAAACATTGACTGACCCAGTGGTGAAAGCTAGACTTGAGGTGGTGAACAAGCAGACTGAGACACCAACAGAGAAAAAGAACGAAGAGCAAAAAGGCCAGAGTAGTGAGGTACAAAAGAAGATTGAAGAAAGTAGGCATATGCCAGCTCTATCATTCCCTCAAAAGATGAAGCGGGAGAAACTTGAAAAATGTTTTGGGCGATTCTTGGAGATACTCAAGAAACTTTATGTAAATATTCCCTTCATAGAGGTACTCATTCAGATGCCTGCTTATGCAAAATTCTTGAAAGAAATCCTGTCTAGCAAGAGAAAATTGGGGGGGGGGGGGGCAATAGTGGTCAAGTTGAATGCCTATTGCAGTGCCATATTGCAAAACAAAATTCCCCAAAAGTGTGGGGACCCAGGAAGCTTTACCATACCATGCTCATTGGGGAGTGAGAGATTCGATAAGACCCTCTGTGACTCTGGTGCATTTATAAATCTAATGCCTCTGTCTATATTCAGGAATCTGGAAGGTGAGCTTGGAGTGATCAAATAAGTACCAGTGTCTCTACAACTAGCTGACCAAATCACCATTTTTCCTGAGGGAATCATTGAGGATATTCTAGTATGGGTGGACAAAGTTTGTGTTCCCCGTAGACTTTATTGTGGTGGATATTGAGGTGAACAAGGAGGTGCCTCTAATTATAGGGAGGCCATTTTTATGTACAGGCAGAGCTATCCTTGATATCTATGAGGGGCAGATTATGCTTAGAGTGGGAAATAAAAAAGTGGTGTTCCAGATGAAAAGAATAATGAAATACCCCAGTGATGAGGCATCTGCCTACTCGTTCTTCAAGCTAGACGTTGTTGGCGAATTGGCTGAAAAATATAAGTTTGACAAGCTTGTGGGGGATACTCTAGAGAGATATATTACTTAGTCTAGCACAATGGATGATGAAGATCCTGAAATAAAGAAAGAGGCTGAAGCTCTTGAAACTGAGAATCAAGTGGTTGATGATGAGGAACTAAAAGAGGAGGCTTATAAGCCTAATGTGGAATTGAAAGTCCTCCCACTCACTTGAAATATACTTTTCTTGAAACTAAAAATTTTCCTGTGATTATTTCTGCTGACTTGACAGGTACACAGGAGCAAAAGTTGGTAGAGTTGCTGAAAAAGCACAAGAAGGTCATTGGCTGGAGTATAGTTGATATTCAAGGAATCAGTCTAGCCATTTGCATGCACACAATTCTGTTGGAAAAGAACAGCAAGCTAGTGGTGCATCCCCAACGCAAGTTGAACAAAAATTTGGAGGAGGTAGTGCACAAGGAGATCATCAAATTGCTAGATGCTGGAGTAATTTTCCCCATCTCTGATAGTCAGTGGATTAGTCCAGTCCAAGTTGTACCTAAGAAGCGGGGCATGATAGTGGTAAAGAACGAAGACAATGAATTGATCCCCACAAGAACAGTCACTGGGTGGAGAAAGTGCATTGATTATAGAAGGCTGAATGATGCAACAAGTAAAGACCACTTTCCACTCCTCTTTGTTGATCAAATGCTCGAGAAAGTGGCCGGACATGGATGTTAATGCTTCCTTGATGGGTACTCAGGCTACAATCAAATACCCATTTCCCCAGAAGATGTTGAGAAGACCACATTCACTTGCTCGTCAGGTATTTTTGCTTACAGGAGGATGTTGTTTGAGTTGTGTAATGCACCTGCCACTTTTCAGAGGTGCATAATGTCTATATTCTATGATTTAAATGGGAAGTGTCTAGAAGTATTCATGGATGATTTCACCCTATTTGGTGATGACTTTGAGGATTGTTTGAAGAATTTGGAGCTCGTGTTTTAACGCTACGAAGCCACTCACTTGGTTCTTAACTGGGAGAAGTGCCACTTCATGGTGAAAGAAGGAATTGTCTTGGGCCACAAATTGACTACACATAGAATTGAAGTTGATAGAGCTAGTTGATGTAATTGCTAGGCTCCCTCCACCAACTTCTGTGAAGAGCATAAGGAGTTTCTTGGGATATGCTGGGTCCTATAGGAGGTTCATCAAAAACTTTTCCAGCATTACCAAACCGTTGACTGCATTGCTAGCGAAAGATATCAAGTTTGTTTTCAATGTGGAGTGCTTAAGAGCATTCAAATTGATGAAGGAAAAGCTTGTGAGTGCTCCAATTATGGTGACACCTGATTGGAGCCATCCATTTGAGATAATATGTGATGCGTGATGTAGCTGTGGGAGAAGTTCTGGGGCAAAGAAAAGATAAGATGTTTAGGCCCATCTACTATAAAAGCAGGACGTTGAATGATGCTCAAGTCAACTATGCCACTACCGAGAAAGAGTTCTTTGCTTTTGACAAGTTTATATCATACCTGGTGGGGAGTAAAGTGATTACACACACTAACCACTCAACCTTGAAATACCTGTTGAGCAAGAAGGAGTCCAAGCCACATCTGATGCGGTGGGTGTTGTTGCTCCAAGAGATTGACTTGGAGATCAAAGATAGGAAGGGTACAGAAAATCAAGTCACTGATCATCTATCTCGACTAGAGAGACCTCTAGTAGAAACAATTGATGTAAGAGAAGAGTTCCCTGATGAGTATATTTTCTCCATTGCTGCGGTCTTGGAAAGGTCGCCTTGGTATGCTGATGTAGCCAACTTTTTGGCTAGTGGATGATTGCCTCGTGACCTCTTTCGTGATCAAAGAAAGAAGCTTCAAGATGAGGTAAACAGTTATTTTTGGAATGACCCTTTCTTGTTTAAACTATGTGCAGATGGTGTGATTCGAAGGTGTGTGCCTGAAGGATAGATGGCAGCAATCTTTCTCATTTCCATGATGGAGCAGTTGGAGGACACTATGGTGGAAACGCACTGCAGCAAAGGTCATGAAAGCCGGTTTCTATTGGCCTACTTTGTACAAAGATGCACGGGCGTATTTAGCTGCATGTGACAAGTGTCAAAGGGCAGGTAACATTAGCAAGAGGGATGAGATGCCACTAAACTCCATTCTGGTATGTGAAATTTTTTACGTTTGGGGAATTGACTTTATGGGTCCATTCCCATCGTCTCATTCGTATGAATATATCCTAGTAGCCATTGACTAAGTCTCTAAATATGTTGAAGCAATCCATACTAGGACCAATGATGCTCGGGTGGTGAACGAGTTCTTACGGAAGAATATTTTTACCCGCTTCGGGACACCTCGAGTGATTATTAGTAACAATGGGTCGCACTTTGTGAACAAGCAATTCATTGCATTGTTGTCTAAGTATGGGGCCACACACAAAAGAGGAACCACGTACCATGCCCAAATTAGTGGGCAAGTTGAAGTGGCTAACCGTTAACTTAAACAAATTCATAAAAAGACAGTTAGTGCTTCTCGTAAGGATTGTTTTGTAAAGTTAGATGAAGCTCTATGGGCATATAGAACTGCGTTCAAAACAACCATAGGGACTTCACCATTCAAACTAGTGTATGGAAAATCGTGTCACCTACCTGTTGAGATAGAACATGAAGCTTATTGGGCAATTAAGATGCTTAATCTTGATCTTAGTTTTGCAGGTGAACACAAGTCGGCATAGATGAATGAATTGGAGGAGTTTAGACTGGAAGCGTATGAAAATTTGCAAATTTCCAAGGAAATGGCAAAAAGGTGGCATGATCGTCTGATTAAGCCAAAGGAGTTTCATGAAGGGGACAAAGTCTTACTATATAATAGTAGACTTAGGTTGTTCCCCGGAAAATTCAAATCAAGTTGGACGGTCCGTATGTGGTGAAACACGTATCACCATATGACGCCATTGAAATACAGGATGAAGAAGGGAATGAAAGCTTTAAGGTGAATGGGCACAGGTTGAAACCGTACCTTGTTGGAGGATTTGACAAGCAATCCTCTAGAATCGTGATAAAATGAGCCTAAGTAACGGAATCAAGCTGATGACTATAACTCAGAACTACTTCTATCCCCTTTTCTTGCTTTGTGGAATAATTAGATAATTGTAGTGTAGGATTATTAGAGTTTAGGAATTTTGGTACTTGTTTGCGCAGTTATAAGCATGAATTGAGCATAAAATAAGTACATAATAGAGTCGGGGTGCAATCCGTGGCCTAAAATGCAAAAATCCCTGGAACTCTAAGAAAATTGGCCTAGTGTGCCGCATGGGGCACCGTACTAGGCTATTATGCAGGCCTCTGTCAGAAGTATAGCTCTCTGGAATTCCCCACTACTGCGTCGCATAAGGCGCCGCGCCCGGTGACGCGGCAGTACAAAAATGGCGCCTGATTAATTTAAAGCAGAAACCATTTTTACCCTCCCCTTTTCCCAAATCTCTCTTACTCCATTCTCTCAAACCTCTCCTCTCTAACTCACCCCAAATCCCCCATTCCTCTTCTTTATCACAGTTCTTCACCTCCAGTTCTCCCACCTATATCATTCATCAAGGTAAGTTTTCTTTTCTCATCTCTCTCTTTTAGTAGTAAGTTAAGGTAGTTTAGTTCATATCACTAACCCTAGGTAGTTTTTCAGTTTTTTTGTTAATATTCATCTTTTGGCCAAAATTCTTGTATTAACTTGTGTGATTTTCATTGTTCTTAAAATTGTGGGTAATTGTTGGTGTGTTTTGATGGTGTCGGAACTAATTTGTGTTGAAGTTTGGCGGGGTTTCCAATATGGCCAAAATTTGGAGGGAGTTTTGTGAAAAATGGGCACCTTGTGCTATTGTTACACTGTGGTGGTGTTGTGATTGTTGTAGGGTGGTTGATTGGTGTGTTTGTGGAGTAACATTAGAATAATTGAAGTTAAAATTATGAGGTACATTTGGTGGCTACCATGTGTTTGATTAAATGCCTCAATGACATAGAAGGTGACATTGTAGCTTAATTGGGGGATAATTGTGATGAGATAATGTGATTCTTGATGATAAGTGTGGAGTGGGAGGTCATGCTCATATGTTGTGAAACTTTAACGAGTTAACCCCGAGTGCTAATCGATTGACCACTCCATGCTAATGTGAGGCTAGGTGCTAATTGGGATGTTTGATTCAAGCTATGTGCTTGTGTTGTGTAGTATTGCATTGTAACTTCGGAATTTCGTAGTAGTGAATTAGTATAACTTCTTATTCTTTTCTTAGTTACTAGTTGAGCTTCTTGATTTTGTATTTTACGTTATTATAGTCCGTGGTTATGTTGTTTTACTATTATATTGGTGGTTAGGTGGGTTGTTGATTACATGTGGTGTGCTTTCAATATGGTAGTCTGAGTTCCCGATATACATTGTACTTGTGAACATGCCAATGACATAAGTGTGGGGTGGTTACCCCGTTTGGTCTTTTTTTTGCTCTAAGTGTTGTGGCTAATATTGTTCGTTTTCTGCAGGTATAATGTCTCGCCGCTCTAGCAAATATTCTAACACAGGTTCATCAGAAGTTGCCTCTAGTAGCCATCGAGGAGGTAGGCGGGCACCTCCCGTCGCCCATGTGGAGGAGGAAGAAGAGCGCATATACGGATGTAGTACCAACCTCCGAGTCGGGACTCACTGCCGGAACAAAGGTCCGGTACCACATCCTAGCATAAGCTAGCACAGATATATACCAAAATTTAGATAAATGTGAAAAAGTACTTACTATTTTTTGTCTTTATTTGACTAAAATTCCAATCTTTCATTTTTTCGCCCGCATTATTAACCATCAGATCACACCTGCAATTTTAGATTTTTATTACTACTTGATATTTCTTTCGTTTCGATTTTCTTAATATCTTGCTGGTATTACTACTTATTGTTACTGCTCTTATTGCAACTGCTTCATTTTTCACCTTTTCTTGAGGCGATGCCATATCGAAAACAACCACTCTACCTTCTCAAGATAAGGTAAGTTCTGCATACCTTATCTTAAGAAGGTAGAGTGGTTGTTTTCGATATGGCATCGCCT